ATTCCAGTCGCTGCCGCTAGGAATTACAAGGACAGGTAACCTCCGCCGCCATGACAGTGGAAAAACTCACTGCTTGCTTCGCGCATAGTACTGCGCATTCCAAAAATAAATAGTATCAATGCTTGCAGAGAAGAATGTTAGGTGGATCCAGCGATTTAAATAACAGAGAAAACAAAACATAGCATATCTTTCTTGATGAATAGAGTGAATTGAATACGGTGAAATTATTCAAACAACATAGTAAAGACTTTATTAACTGAGTATATCATTAACTTACAATATATTGTCACAATGAACTTTCAAATGTTACGTAGTGTTAAACATTAATTGTAATCCTCCCTGGTGTATACCATAACACATGGAGTTAGAGGGACGAGTTATAGCATTCCCCGTAAACTTTAGAACATAAATAATGATAAAGAACAAGTGTTATAACTAAATCGATGATTTAATTATCATATCAGTGGTAAATATGTAGGTAAATTAATCATGCAATAGATCTTGATTTGAATTATTTTGGTAGGATATGCACTCGGGACCTGTGATATCGCTTTGCATTTAATGGTTTTTGAGGCAGCACTTCTTTATGGTTTTATAGATGCTTAAAATCCGTCTACTTTCTTTGTTAACAGCAGTGTATAGTGCAGAGAGAAGGGTTTATTTACTTCAGCACTTCTGGATTTACGCTAGTCTAAATATAGATTTTTTCATCAGTGCTGTTTCCTGTGACGCGATAAAATGGCAGTGGTTACCTGTCGTTGGTTTTTTAGGGCGCTTGCGCCCGTTAACCAATGTCAGGGTACCAGTCTAAGGCCTAAAAATAGAAAAAGGAAGCCGTGGTGATAACACATGAATTAAATCTACGCATACGAAAGAGTGCAAAAATTGTTTCGATCAAAACAGAAACATTTTGTATCAAACTGAAGAAATTAATATGAACCTTTGTCTTACTCAACTTATAAAGTATTTTGATAATTTAAAACTGAAAATATTAACTGTAAATAATACTAGTAGACAAACTATCCTGCGTATTATTATGACTGTGTACGCATCATCTATTGTTTACTTCCGGAAAAAATTATTAGTTCGTACCGGATGAAATTCGGAGCAGTTCAGAAAGGTTTCAAGACTGAGCAATTATCTACTTCAAATCAAATTAAATGAAAAATGTGAATGTATATTTTTCTTAGTTTTGTTTTTAGTATGTTAATGAAATAATAAAGTTGTTATTAAAGCTCGTAAAAAAAATCACATTTGTGAAATCTAGTATGAAGATTATTTTTGACCCCGTCTTTCAGTACTGTCTCAGTACTTTGATTAAATTATCTTTGCTGTAGTATTGTTAAAGACTTCCAGAGTCCAACAATTATAAATTTAATGAAAATATATTAAGTCAATTTACAAGAAATTTGACAGTATAAAGAAGTGGAAAACATCAATATAAAACCACGCTTTCTCAGGCACGTAGCATCGTTTTTGAAAGGGGCCGGGGCAACCTGAGAAATTTTTAATACTTACCCAAAAAAAAAATTAGCAAAAAAAAAAAAAAAAAAAAAAAGGATATAAAAAGGAAAAATCCTATTTCGGGGGGGGGGGGCAACTTTTTTCAAGGCCAGCTTCCTTTCAATTCCAATTTTTTCCCATCTTTCCTTGCTATAAATGTACTGTGGTAAAAAGTGGGGGGGGGGGGGGCAACCGTCTTTTCAATGGACATTTTCTATAGTGAAGTAATGTTGGCGAAAAAAGGGGGGGCAGCCCCCCCAGCCCCCCCCCCCCGGTTGCTACGTGCCTGTTTCTTTCGTGGCGGGGAGGGGGGGTTGTTTCTTTCTTATCTATATGATTTAAAGAACTCTTTAAATCCCTAATGGGACGACGGGGGGGGGGGATGTTTTGAATATTACATGTTAGTCGTACAACGAACCAATGCATAACCGTACTTCGAAAAAAAAAATATGGAATTAGAAATACATGTATTTGACAAGGCTTACGTACTTTAACTTTTCTGTACATTATACATGTTTAAGTGTTCATGTAGGCTACACAAATCCCCAAAGACTCTAACGTAATCTTAAAGGTTTTAAAAAAATGATTTTAAGTGCTTGCAAAAAAATATTATACATGTATGCTATTTCAAATTGATTTACGGGTCCTTGCCTAAAGCTTTCTTTTTGATTTGTGTAGCAATGTTTTTCGAAGATCAGCTCTACTTTGCAAAAATACGATACATTCGAGTTACAGATGCGCCCTCTCCACATTTTGTTCCAAGCATAACAGGTACCTTTACCTTCTGAAATGTTAATTGACAGGCCTGTTGACTTTCTTCCAAGCATAACTTTTACTATATCGAAAATTTTCATTGAAGCCCCCCCCCCCTGTCCATTTTTTTTATTGCAGTATAGTCAAAGAAGGTTAGGCGGTGGTGCGTGAGAAAAAAAGGTACTTAAAGAAGTTTGACAATTTTCCTTTTTTTCCATGTCAGCTTTTCAAAAAAATAAATTTGAATTTTTCTGCCCCCCCCCCCCCACGCCTTTTCAAAATCGAAGTTACACCCCTGAGTTAAGTTGGTAAAAGTCAACTGCATATATAGACATCTTATTTCACATGCAATTTGAGTTATTTAAAAAGTATATTTTAGACATTTGTTGCCATATGTTTGTTTCATATCTATGTTGATAAGGAAAATTTTCAAATAGCAGCCGATGCGATGTTTTCAGTTATTAACCGGTGCAATATATGCTAAGACTCTGATAGCAACCGTAACTTTAAAAAATCGTGTTTTATCCAAAAATCTCTTTTAAAATACACTTTTCAATTTGTTAAAATTATTTCTAAGAATTATTATAGAATGACGCATCTTCAAATACCAAAATTCCCACAATCTGAATAATGGATGATTTAAAAAATCATGAAAACTGGGTATTTATTGACTTAAGATTTGGTATAGGCTTCGGAAATTTTACTAATTCTAAATTATTAGAGGGCTATTCTGCAAATTACACATGACAACATCTATAGAAATACCTTACTTGTTCCGTGCACCCGGACTTTTCAGAGACTATCTTGATTAGGGGTCATGATTTCACCGTTTTACAACTTGTTCTAAGAGTTTTCAACATATTTATTTCTGCTAGCAACCGTACAATTTTCGAATAGCAACATTGAACGCGGTTTTATTCCGATAGCAGCCGTTTAGGTACTACACCGTGAACTAGCAAGAACACCATGAAACGAAAATTTAAAGAACTAATTTTTTTTTAAATTGATACAAATACAATTCATAATTAAATGCAGTTCTATAGAAATATGTAACACAAGACTGATCGAGATTTAATTTAATACTGTAGACGTACTTTTTTCCATGGGGTCATTATAAATTCCGCAGAATCCCAATTTCTGTTTCATCTGCTGGTAGAAAATTAAGCGGATTTTCTGGATTTTCACTATATGCCTTACATTTATATTAAGTACGCTTGGACAAATTTCTGCGGAAAATTTGTGACATGTACATAACATAAATTAATCCCACGTGAAAAAAAGTACTTCTACAGTATTTTAAAATTATTTGTGAGCACATTATATATTTCTTAATTCATTAAATAGACCAGTACATTTACAAAAGAAAAACAGATATCCTACTTCTTCTACAAGAACTGAAAATATACACATAGTGTCTGATTGAATTAGGTCTAGATCATTTTTATCAACTGTAGGATGAAGGAGAAAAACTGATATACTATACAGTTAACCCCACCACTGTCTGCTTTGACAAAAACCAGGCTCACTTTGTACTTGGTTTGACACCATAATATGATTTACTAAATCAACTTTGATATACAGAGGGCATGCAATATGATAGCACTCTTACATTTAGCTTTCATATTGCATCTATAAATCTTCATAAATACAGTGCAGATGACTTCAGACTTTTCTTGTGCAGCATATTTTGTTTTATTTGTGAATTTCTAATTGAAATCTAAATAACTTGTCATCAGCTTTATTGCAGCCCAGAGGACAGGGCTGCTCTATACATACAAGTTTAAGTGTTGTGTATGGCCAGGAATTATTAAAGAAGTTATTCAGAATTAAAGGTTTTCTAAACATTAAAAAGATTATAAATCAGAATGTTCTTTCCCTTTATAAATTATGATATATGCAATATATTTACTTCCATAAAGTGAATCTTTAAAATTATTATATAGTCTATTCATAGTCCCTATATAATCTATACAAACGCAAACAGTTCATAACACTGCATATTCACCGGATTTTAGGCCGTATTCACCGAATGTTCAGTGCGCATGCAACGGCATTGTGACGTCACAATCAAAACCTCAATAACATTGTAAACAATATTATTGTTGCAACGGTCACAGCCAGCTTTGATATCTATTCAGGAAAAACATTTGACAAACCTATCGTAGGATTTTTTTAAAGCATCTGGACGCCTTAAACATAGCAAAACTTGGAAAGGAAAACACAGCGGTTACAAACAGTAATCTGGATATTTTTTTTATTTTCAACGACGGAAGTTCGGAAATGAAAATGGTGTCGTCATGTAGCCATCAATGTCTTATTTATTCAAGTTTGGACAATATAATAAAACAATTATGGACACTTTTGGTGTTGAATATGGTTTGTTATTCACCAGAAAAATATCAATATTGACCTCGGCTTCGCCTCAGTCAATATTGGTATTTTTCTGGTGAATAACAAACCATATTCAACACCAAAAGAGTCCATAATTGTATAATATATAAGTTTTTCATATTTAATATATAGGACTCCAAAGTGCGATGGGACTCCAAAGTCCGATGGTCACGCCAAAGTCCGATGGTCAAGCCAAAGTCCGATGGTCTGCGCAAAACCCCGATGGTTTGACACGCCAAAGTCCAATGGCGCAGAAAACAGTTAACGTTTATGACGTCATAGTACTACTGTGCAAAATTGCGATGCCATCCCAATATATTTCTTGAGTCTAGTGTTAATTTATTTAGACTGAC